GACTGATCAGCGTCTTTCATTTGACTTTCCATGTCTTTTGGCTTGCTGTGGAAGTGCAGGAAATGGTGGTATTAAAATTATTAAAGTCTCGGATGACGTACAATCACCAGTAGAGCGCGTTAGCTATCGGCTTCTCACCTCGTGCAATTCGATAAACAATGAACAAGATGTGGTTCCGTTCACATCAATCGCAGTTTATCTTGAAAATAGACATAACGGAGATCCACATGTTCATTTTAGGTGATAAAAATTTATGAAACGATATTAAGCGCAAAAACGGCGTTTAACAGGTACAGCAATCAGTGCGCTCAAACCTGAAAAACCTTAAAAGTCGAATAAAATCAACTCGGTCGAGCTTGTCCGTAATATTGCGGAAATGAGCGATGAAGCGTTTCATGTCTTTTTTGACGCTTCTATTACCTATTCGTGGGAATTCCTGAAGTTTCATAGCTCAGCTAGCAATGTTACGGTGTAGTTCCAAAACAAGTTTTTGCCGATTAATTCAGTGGGCAACACCGGCCAATGGGCCAATGTGTTGCGTGGGCAGTACAGAAATTCTTCCGATGCTAATTCCAGTGCCATCGTCGTATTGCCAGGGACCATCTCCACCTTTACGACCGGTGCATCGCACCCCTGCTATGAAGGGGTTGGGACGGGAATAATTCCACGACTCCTTCGTTCCTATACTAACAATGCTAACTAGTAGGATCTCTTTAATTATCTTGCATTTGGTCGAAAAAAACGGGGGATGTACTATACCACAACTGACAAAACAGTACAAGTTCAATGCTACCGCAGTCTACTCAAAGGCAAACTCCGGAAGTACCTTACTAGTAGGAAGGACACTGCGAGGGAATTTGCAGGGTCTATACCGTCATAGATCACGCCAGCTTCGTTGCCCAAATTGCGCGATTAGGGCGCTAATCCATTACGAACCTGCAACCATCGACCCTCGCTGCAACGCTTCCCACCCACCGCTAATATAGAGATCAGCGTGCTCTCTCAAACGACGTGCTCTCTCGCGTATTTTGTCTTCTTTGATCGCCCTGTCTCGCCATCGTACCACATCCGACCTTACTGAACCTTAGCATTAGCGAAGAGTTCTCTTGCTTTTCTTCCCAATTTCAGGTCGTTCTGCAGATTAGGCACCACTACAAAGCGCTCTCCGCCAGTTTTATTTTAGGGATTGCTTTTAGAGCAACAATTCTAGATCGATTTCGTGGTTTAAAAAAAGGTTCATAATGAAGTTGTAGATGGCGAGTTGACTGCTAATAGGGAAAAAAGCGGAGAAAAACGCTGGCAAAGTTCTTAAACAGGGGCTTCCTCTCTTCCCTTGAAATTGGAGGAGGAGGGGGGTCGGAAGAGTTGTCTGGATTGGCTTGCATTTCTTGCTGGCTCGTGCCAGCAAGAAATGCGGCTGCAATCGCATTTGCCCTAATACAAACAGAGACATATGCATCAGTACAAACAAAAAGATACAATAATTAAATGAGTTAAACAAGTAAAACCAATCAAAAGACGCAGCATTAATTTCGAAACGCGGGATAGTTACAAGCAATCGCGCAAGGACCCGCATCCAAGCACGGGCTCTCTACAGCTGCGGTTGGGTGGCCGCACCGAGGCTCAGTGGACCCGCCCATTTTGAATGCGCCAGATCTCATTCCAACGCCCTTCAAAGGTAGTGACATTTCCTATGTGCTTGACTAGGGCTAGTGCATGTTTCCAATCCTCCTTAGGATCGAATGGTTGAAAACTCTATTGGGACTGTTGCTTAAATTCTCGCAGATCCTTTCTAGGTACGCATGCCGACCTTATCAAATATGAGCCTTCTTCCTTCTGAAAATTTAAATACGTCCACCTTCCCCCTCACCCATCGAGCGCTTTTCGGCTCGTAGAAGTTACATAGACTGCAGATGTACACCTTGGGCATGTATCTCCCACTATGAGTGAGATCCTCATGCCTGTTCTCTATTCCTTAACAGTGTTTGCGAAGATCTCGATCGTACTCCAAGTTTTCAGAAGAAACGCCTGCACATTTTCAAGCCGGCCCCAACGTCAAGAGCAACTTACGCTTTTTTTCTGTAACTTCTAATCAAGGCGCAGATCACTATCGTAATGGTTTGTGTTCGTTTACAACATATCGCTTAAAATTGGCAAACGTACTGGAGTGGTGCTCCAAAGGTCCTCGAAGTCGGACGAGTTCCAGAGCGCGATTGCGAAAGTCGTGATTCAGTATCAAATAAACGAATAAGTGAATTCCAGAATTGATCGTCTGCATCCAAACGGCCGGCTTTGAGATCACGTCGCTTACCTTAGATAGTACTTCGGTAAGTTTGCAGGTTATTTGTTCAATTAATTCGTGAGTACAGAGCGCTTACCGATTTCACGTAGACTTGGAAAAGTGCTATGGTGTTCGGCAGTGAGACCAATACGGTTGAGAGTAGTGAGATCAGAAGGTAGTATCTGATGATGTCAGCTTGACGTTGAGCCTGCTGTCTAAAAATTGAAGATAAGTATTCTCAAAGAACGAATTCTCAATTGGCTATCGTTCTCCAATGACAAGTGTCACAGGCTCGGTTCCAAGTTCGGTTCCGGTTCATTCTAGAGAGCTGACTGGTACAAATCCGGAAGCGAGAATGCTAGGTAGGTCTAAATTGGTCGTGGTAGCCAGGACGGAATCTCGTTTATATGTGGAAGTTGTGATGTAACACCATCAAGCGAAGGAAATCAGAAAGAGAAAATCGTTCAGTGAGACAAACGGGGCAAAGCATTCGTAAAATGGGACAAGATTTGTGGATGTAAGGAGCAATGGTCAGTAAAAGGGTGAAGAATTAGTCAAGTTATAGAGCCGCACAGCAGCATCTTCTTCAGTGAAGTACAAACCGTTAAAATTGTGAACATCGTGCTGACCCAGAAGGCCTTGGATGATTTAAGGGTTCAATACCAGGCTTCATGAGGTTCCACCAGTGAAGAACTCACATATTAACATAAGGCAAATACAAGTTATTTGAAATGGATGCACAACACAACTCGCTGCGTCTCTCTGTCAGCCAACCTTTGTCCTTAGTCAATCTTTATCCTCTAATTAGGATTGGGTCGACTAGAAAAGCATTTCCGAGGTTAAACACTAGGAGGGTTTCAAACGTGAAGGTAGAGCCAGATGCCTCAAATTTTAAGAATTTTCTCTAATAATTTGATGGAGTTTCATGTAATGTTTTTAGAAAATCCTTTCTGATAAGGGCTTCTTTTCTTTTTCATATCTCATCCTGTTGCTTAACGTAAAATTTTTGTTGAGTACCCAAAAATGGTAAAAATAAATAAGTGCACCCGAGTGCGTTGTTTACGTTTTTGTTTATTTATGGCTAATTGTTTAACTCGGATGTATTTTGCACAATAGAATACCGAGATCAGCCATCTCTTATTTACTTTTCTAGTTTACCATATCATTTTCAGTATGGAAAGTTCCTTCAGAAAGCATTTTCATGCAAAAGAAAGCGGAGCGGTTAAAAAGTTTTGCGTCTCCCTGCAAAAATGAAAACGAACTTTTTGGGCTTTAAGTCACTTTTTCAGTGCTCTTCTTCTGCTTTCGTCGTTTTGGGCCTATGATTATCATAGATCGATCGCACTTCTGCGGGTGACTCCATTACAATTTTGATAGATAATGAAAGTTGTTTATGCCGTAATTAGGTTGGTAATTCAATAACACGCAAAGCCAGCCTTACCCAGCGCCTATGAAAAGTGATCACGTGTATCGTAATCATAGTTCTTTTTCTCTCTCACCCAAGTCACATAGGTGGGTGCAGCGATCGATAAGGAAATCGTAGATGCCGAACTGACTGAAAATGAGAAAAGAACCAAAGCAGTCCGCCATGAACCCTTTAAACAAGGACTATTCCTGTTCTTCTCTAACACGAGGGCATTTCTGATGACGTCTAACTTGTTTGCTCCATGATTTTACTAACCCGCTCTATTTGAATTAGCCGCCATGTCCCTTTGCATGTCATGAGGTGTGTGCGATGTATCTCGTCTATCAGCTGAAACCAGCCGTAAATAGCTCACTTTATAAAGTCGCGCTATTTTCACTCACTTTGGAGCATCGACAACAGCGCTTCTGTTTTGATCGTGGGCTGATCCGTCCTACCCTTAGAACCGATTCTTCGACATGACCTCATCTGGAGTGGTTGCTTGGAAGGAAGTGCTACGATAAAGAGGGAGCGCATCGGTGCGTGTTCACACGAAGCAGTTACTTGGCTGCCAAGGAAGCGAGGTGTGGCGCTTTCACGACGAAAGGTGCGCTGGTTGCTGAGCAGGACTTCGAAAGCACTCCGCCCCAAAAGCGATCCGCCCACTAGTTTAGTTGGTGATTTGGACGAGCTGCGTTGCCAGCAGCGGCACAACTGGAGCAAACTGGAGCATGATTGGCATGTGCACCAAACGCGTTGCGGTAAACTCGTCCATACGTCCGCTGTTCTTAGCCGCTGCTCGTTGTTGAATGAAGAACAACGATAAAACCAAGAGATCTCCTTTTCGTGTTTTCTTAATGAACTTCCCTGCGTTTTGGTCATTGACGCATCATTGAGCACCCCACCGTCCCTGTACCACCCTAACACTTATCGTAATCGCTGCCTTCAACGTCATTGACGAAGCCTTAATAGCCAGCATGGGAATTATTGGGCCTTTCACTACTCATTATGTTTCTTTATTGTGGAATTATTTTTTATTATTTTTGATATTTGGGTTTTCATCTTATTTTATTTTTGAGGTCTCGCTTCATATTTTGATCTCATTCTTTTTTTCATTGTGATGGCGAAGAGATTCCATAGTATAATATTTACTTACACGTTCTTCGTCATTGTCCTTGCCTTCACATAGGCTGCTGCGTTCAGTAATGTTGACAGCACATTACAAAATATATTTGTTACATAGACAAAAGTCGAAAATCCCTCGCCGAAGGTTGCCTTTCGGCCACAGTGATACTGCGTTGGGCGGTCATCGTAGATCGCCGTTGTTATGGCGTATATGGAAGAGATCGCCACGAAAATTGCACTCAACAATGGAACCACAACATATCTGAATAGAAGAAGATACATTTTACAATTCTATAAAAAATGATACGGCAGACAGTGAATGCCTCCTGGATGCGACTGTATAATGAGAACTTGTTTGATTTCGGTCATTCTGGTTAGTTTGGCGTTATGTTAAGTGATAACTACGTTCGCAGTCACAGCTACGGGTAACCCATGGAAGCTGTTCAGCATAGAACCAGTTGAAGCAATCAGGCAGCAAAAAGGCTCAGGCAAAGCAATTACTGCAGGCCACGTTGTGCTCGACAGCGACGGCGGATGAGTTCATATGCCAAAGACGGTGAGGGCAGTGAACGAGAGCTTGGTTATTCGCAGATATTTTCATTCAGATAGGTCTTGAAGATCTAAGTTGCCAATGTATTTATGCGCCTTTGCACGAAGAAATTTTTCACACTGATATTAATTATATATTAATGTCATTAGAATTACATATTATTATTGTCACTATTATATAGCTATCATAACAAGTAGTAAATGAATATTATGTCATCGTGCAGGTAGGGAAAAGATAAA